CGAAACACACCTGAGGCCCCCGTGACCTCAACCAAACATATTAACCAGTCCAAAAATACCATATGAACTTAGTTGAGCCCTCGAATCACATCAAACAACACTTAAAAACATGAATCACCCTCCGATTCAAACTTAATGAACTTGAAACTTCAAATTTCTATAACCGATGCCGAAACCTATCAAATCACGTCCGACTGACCCCAAATTTTTCACACAAGTCATATTCAACATTTGGTACCTACTCAAACTTTCGGAATCGGAATACGGCCCCGATATCAAAAAGTCTACTTTCAATCAAACTTCCCAAAAATTCAACTTTCGCCATTTCAAGCCTAATTTATCTACATGCCTCCAAAACACCATCCGGACACGCTCCTAAATCCAAAATCACCCAACAGAGCTAACGGAACCGACGAAACTCCATTCCGGAGTCGTCCTCACACAGTTCAAACTACGGTCAAAATCCTAATACTTAAGCTTCCGTTTTAGGGACTAAGTGTCCCAAAATACTTTGAAACCACGAACAAACCTCCCGACAAGTCACATAGGCAGAAAAAGATATGGGGGAAGCAGTAAACATGGGATCGGGACCATTACTCTTAAAATGACCGGCCGGGTCGTTACACGAACTAACAATGTTTCACCTTCCTTCGGTTTTTCTAGTAACGGAGAGCTTGACAAGTACCTTTTCAAATATCTCAAAGCCTGTTGGCATTCTGGGGTCCATTCTAAAATGTTTTTTTTCTAGCAGCGCGAAGAAATGGTGGCATTTCTCTAATGACCGGGAAATAAACCTGCTCAAAGCGGTCAATCTCCATGTGAGCCTTTGATCTTATTTCACGCTTGATAGCTGGTCCGAGATATCTTCGATGGCTTTGATCTTATCGGGGTTTACCTCAATCCCCCTTTGTGATACTAGAAATCTTATGAACTTGTCGGAGCTGACCCCGAACGCGCATTTCTCAGGGTTAAGCTTCATGTTATTCTTCTTTAGGATGTCAAAAGTTTCTTGCAAATGCTTAAGATGATCACCTGCGTTCAAAGACTTAACAAGTATATCGTCTATATAAACTTTCATGGTTTTCCTTATATGTTTTTCAAACATCTTGTTTACGAGCCGTTGATAAGTGGCTTCGATGTTCTTTAGCCCGAAGGGCATCACATTATAGCAATATGTGCCGAAATTCGTTATGAACAAAGTCTTTTTCTGATCCTCCAGGTTCATCTTAATTTGGTTGTACTCAAAATAAGCATTGAGGAAACTCATTAACTCGTGCACGGCCGTTGCACTAATCATTTGATCGATGTTTGGCATTGGGAACAAGTCTTTTGGGCACGCCTTATTCAAGTCCTTATAATCTACACACATGCAAAATTTTATTTTTCTTAGGAACTACTACCACATTAGCTAGCCAGTCTGGATACTTTACCTCTCAGATTGAACCGATATCAAGTAGGCAAGTTACCTTTTCTTTGACGAATTTATTCCTGGCCTCCGCAATATGGCATTTATTTTGTCTTACCGGAGGGATGTTGGGATCCAATCTTAGCTTGTGTACGGCCACTTCCATTGGGATACCTGTCATATCCGCATGCGATCACGCAAAACAATCAGCATTGTATTAAAGAAATTCAATAAAGTCAGACCTGAGCTCGGGGTAAAGTCCTGTCCCCAAGTGGAATTTCCTATCCAAGAACTTTTCAAACAATGCAAGTTGCTCGAGCTCTTCCGATATGGACTTTGTTGCATCCGTCTCTTCTGTACCTGGGAGTATCTTGGCACCTGATAAGATTCCCACGCTTCTTCCCCCCTGGTTAACTTCACTTGATTCGAGAGCAGGCACCGGTTCCTGTAATTGCTAAATCGCATTCATCTCCCTTGCTGCCGGTTGATCGGCTTTTATATATTTAATCCCTTCGGGAGTTGGGAATTTCAGCAATTGATGATATATTAATGGTACGGCTTTCATCTCGTACAACCACGGTTTGCGAGGTTGAATCCGCCAAGGAGTTTTGTGGCCAGAATAATACTTCCGGTAAGTTTGGCTTGCCCCAATACCCTTCATTGTATGATATTGGCCAAATATTCTGGATCCACCAAAACACGTTAGATTTTAAAATCTAGTACATTTAAAGAAATTACCAATGCATCATTGTGCGGTAGCAACAGTCCGTTTGCGTCCTCCTTCGTGAAAGTGAATGTCGTCTTCAGCGACTTCCCAGAGTCTCTTGCTATGGTTATTGACACCTTCATCTTCTTTGCTGCCAAGAAGGTAACCCCGTTGATCTCGTTCCCCACGAAGATCATATTGATTGTCTGGCGCGAGGGGTCTTCTCCTGTTTTTGTAGTTCTCCGCGTTATCACGGTTGCTACCATAATTATTCTTGACTCGGACACTTAAGAATTCCCTGAGACGTCTATTTTTCAATAGTGTCGCCACCTCTTCACGCAGATGCCGGCAATCCCCAGTCCGGCGGCCATTCGTCCCGTGGTACTTGCACTACAAATTGGGATCCCTCTAGCTGGGATCGGACCTCATCGACTTCGGGAACCGTGCTTCTTTAATGTTCCTCATACCTGATACAAATTCAACTACAGTGGCGTCGAAGTTTTATTTTGATAGCCTGGGGTAAGAAGGATCCCTTGTACCTGATGTTTCTTTGTCCTGCAACGATCTGTTATTTTGACCGCGATCGGTTCTGATATCGGTAACGAACCTGTCTGCCGACCGAAAACCTCTGCCACGTCCTTCGACCTGTTCGTAGGGAAAAAATCGACCCCTCGAAGACCGTCTATCTGTGTCAAAATTGTCTTTTGATTTTTCTTTATTCTTCTCCTGTCCTTTTGCCGATGCCGGAAAGCCAATCTGATCATCTTCGAAACTTATCTTAGATTCGTACCGGTTGTGAACATCCGCCCAAGTCGTCGCTTGGAACTCAAGTAAGCTTTCCTTTAATTTTCGGGAAGCATCATAACTTCTCGGATTCAGACCCTTGGTAAATGCCTCAGCCTCCCATTCGTCATGTATAGCTGGGAGCAACATCCTCTCCTTTTGGAACCGGGTGACGAATTCCCGCAGCAACTTAGACTCTCCTTGTGCAATTCTGAATATGTCGGCCTTTCGGGCCCGCACCTTTCTGGCCCCGGTATGGGCCTTAATAAAAGAATCCACGAGCATCTCAAAGGAACCTATGGAATGCTCGGGTAACAACGAATACAACGTCAAGGCTCCCTTCGTGAGAGTCTCACCGAATTTCTTCAGGAAAACAGATTCAATCTCATGGTGAGCTAAATCTTTCCCCTTCATCGCCGTTGTATAGGTGGTAATATGCTCTTGAGGGTCCGAAGTCCCATCATATTTCGGCAGGTCGAGCATTTTAAACCGCTTCGGGATCAATTCTGGTATTGTGCTTAGTTTATACGGCAACTGAGTATACTTCTTCGAGTCCGGCTCTTTCAGCACTGGTGGTGCACCAGGGATTTGGTCCATGCAGGCGTTCACTTCCCTCATAAACTACAGGAGCTCGCTTTTGAAGGGATCGCTCCCATTGTTATGACTGGAACAACTCCCTCCGGCCCCATCAGAGCCGACCTCGCCCCTTGGGGTATTGTTATCGACCCTCTGCATTGTCTGATTTGCGGGCGGGGGACTGGACCTCGTCCATTTGCATTATTGGAAGCACCTGACAACGCCTGCTTTATTTCTGTCATAACCTTATCGGCTTATCCTGCCGAGTGAGATGGCCTAGAATGACCTCTTGTTGCTCTTGCAGGACCCTTGCCGCTTCAACAACATGGTCCTCTTCAGCATCATTGGGAGTTTCCTCTCGAACATGTCGCGGGTACTGCCTGTCGTGGATCGGCGTAGCATCGCTTTTCTCATTGCGGGTGTTATTGATTGAATCCTCGTGCTGAGGCTGGTTTCCTTGGTCCTCAAGATTGTGTGTGTTGTTAACACCATTGTTTGCCATTTTTTGTGATTTTTTATTAGGAAGAAATAATCAAAACACGTTAGTAAAAGAGGCAAAGATCAACTTAATTACACGACTGTCTAAGCCCCACGGTGGGCGCCAAACTGTTTACCCGTAAAACGGTACACTTGAATTTATACGTGGTTTCTAGACATGTGGATTAATTCGATCCTGAAATTATAAAAGAATTGAGAAAATATGCAATACTTAACCTTGAGGTCGAGATGAAATAGCAGAAACAGTAATTCCGGGAGCAAGGCTTCCGGGCACAACAACAATGAAATCAAAAAGTAAGAAGGTAAAATTGTATAAAGCTTTTAATAGCTTATAGCGTCAGTTTGCTAGAAAATTCGTGTTCTTTACAATGATAACAAAACTCACTATTTATAGCTGCACCTAGGGAACAAGGTCTTAGGATCATGCCCTTTTGTGATGTCAATTATGAGGGCCATTGAAGAATGTGTAACGGTAAATATAAATGACAAATTCTTTATAACGGGCAGTGTACTAAATACTGTAAAATATTTTTCATTAAATGCTAGTGGGTGACAGCTATTTATTGCATCTTTATGAACGTCATTCTTTCCGGTAACAAATGGAATAGTTGTCTTCGGTTTTAGCTGTCCTCTGTTTTCGACTCCACGTGTTACTCTCGTATGCAATTACCTAGCATAGCATATTTTTACCATATACAGATTTCAAATTCGAATCTTCTTAATGATATGCGAGCATTATGGTCTAATTAAGTCTTTCTTAGTAATATTATTTTTGGTAATTTCTTAAATAGAAAATAAGCAACTTAATTGGCGGAGAAACAGTCCTCGTCAAATGATGTGGTCATCAAATTCAAACAATTGCTTTCCTTCTGTTGAAAGGTCAGTTCAAATTGAAGTCTCAACTTTCATAAGCGGGGATTTAATATTTTAATTATAGTAAGTGGCAGTAATTATGACAAAATATAGGGGTATATTTGTAAACACGAAAATCGCGAATTTATGTCTTTGGACTCTCTCTGCTACGCGGTCACATGTACATTTCCCGTGCTGCCGGCCCAAGTCTGGTGTCAAATAGCGCCGTCCCATACTGCTACTGTTTTCGCCGGTTACAAATATCTCTTTCTTTCTCCTTCTACTCTCTACGCTTCACTCAGTATACACATCAAATTCTCTTTTGTTTAGTAGGTTAAAATCTGCTTTTGTTTTTGAAGAGGAGAGTTCAAATCATTTCGATTTGCCACATTTTTTCTGGTATCGTTAATCTTCGCTTACTGTTTATTTACTGTTTTATATGTTTGTGAAACTTTGGAAAATAGTAATCCACATTCGAAATTTCGAATTACAGATGTTGCTGAGCATTGCATTTTTGTGAATCTCTGCTGGAGGAATTTAATAGTATATATGTTTGTTGATTGTGCTCTGAAGTTGCTTACTCGATCTATGAATTTTTTTTCTTGCTGAGATCCTTGCGATTCTACTCTAAAATGTGTTCCGTTCCTCTTTTGGAATGTTTTTGTCTAGTACATATTGCTTGTTCTAGTTGATTCTTCTGATCCAGTAGTGAAGATCCTTGCACCGATTATTTCCTGTTTAAAATGTTATACTAGGAATTTGTTAGTAATGATTATTGAAAAATAATACTGGAGTTTGATGTTTCTAATCATTGTTTGAATAGTGATTCAAGGTGATGTGTTGCTAACTTCGACGGACAAAGATAAGCTAATGATATCATTTGGACTTAACTTAGGGTTTCACGCTTGCTAGCTGTTCTTTTCTTTTCATTAAAATATTTTTGCAGCATGATTTGAGTAAATAGTGACGATCTACATTCACGATATCTACTCTACTTAATTTACTGGCGGAGTGATTTTCACATCTAATGCTGCCAATTTGGAGTGAAGTAATGTCGTCCAACTTTCAATGTTAAAGTTCATCAGATAAAAAATTGGATACTTCATTGAGAAACGTTAGATCACAATGTCCTTTTTCTTTTAGATCACTATGTTCTCTCTCCATTTCTCCAGCTATTGCTACATCATTTACTTTATAATGTGATGCTCTAGTTTATTTGGGAAATGTTGATGGTACTGTTATACTCTTATGAAATTTTCAATTCTCATTGAAGATGTTTTGAAAATATCTTCTATCCAGTGTAAACAAAAACTTCAACAAAAGGAATCTTGACATTCCAATTAGTCAAGGGACGGTGGAAAAAAAAAGGAACAAGTTAGTGAAGTGAAATTAACAACAGTATGAGAAAGCATAGTTGAGGTCCAAAAGCGCTAAACACCCAACAGTTGAGAAACCAAAGTGTTATGTTTTCGTATGTATGTTAGCTTTCTTAACCTTGATCAAGCCATCAAGGAAATTGAGTGAGCAATGCTAATGATTTCACTTATTCGTTCTAATGTATGAATTACAAATTTCATTGGAGGTTTGCAGCTAAGTCCTTGACTAAGCGTGCTTTAGTTCTTCAACATAAAGTTGTTCCACACTTTGAAAGCAATGCCTTCTATCTTTCTGGGATCATAGCAAATAAACTTCATTTATGAGTCTGTACTCTTAGTTTTGGTCACTGGTTCTTGGGCTATCATCCTATTGAGGCCAGAACTCCATCTTGTAGAATGTGGTCATGTGTATTATGACATTTTGATCGGAAAGTTGTTGGGTTGAAATGTTAGTTCTACCCTGGAGTTTAGATATCTGTTTATTTTGTTACTTTTTCCTCTTTATGCTATGAATAATGTTTGCTTAAGTGTATTGCTGACTTGGCTCTTAACAACCCTGTCCACTGCTGGTGTTTCAGAAGCTATTCTCTATAAGATGTCTGAGGAAGCGGCTCAAGATCTCACTGCACTACCTGAAGCTGAGAAGAATAATGAAAATTCCAGTAATGGGAGTGTTCCCGTTACAGTGCTTGAGAGCGTTGATAAAAATCATAAAGAGAAGGAAAGAGAAAAGCCTGTCTTACTGGTTGAGCTTGATCTTAATGGAGACAATAAGGTGAATACTGGGGCAGAGATTGGAAATTCAGAAGTAGAATACATAGAATCTGAGAATTTGAATGATTTAGAAGATGTCGACACAAGTCTGAAGGTAAAGATTCCTGATATAGTTTTGATATTGGCTTCTTGTAATTTGTATATCTGTTTACCTTATGTTGATTACACAAGTCTCTTTTCAATGTCGTTGCATCTCCTTTTTTCATGTTCTAGACTCTATTGACTGGACTAGACTCCAAGGACTGGGTTTTAGTGTGTGAGGCACTTAATGATGTTCGGCGTCTGTCCATATTTCACAAAGAAGCAATGGTTGATATGTTGTAAGTCACATTTGTAACTGAGGATATAACTTGAAAGATATTTGATCATGCTGTTCTAGCTGGTTTAGATAGATATCTTTGTATAATTTCCTTTTGTTTTATGCTTTCCTACTTATGTTTGCTACTTAAATGAGCAGGGGAAATGTGATCTCTCTTATTGTGAAATCTTTGAAAAATCCAAGAAGTGCTGTTTGTAAAACAGCTATTATGGCATCAGCTGACATTTTCAAAGCATACTGTGACAGCATAGTTGACTTGATGGATCCACTGGTAACTTTAATTTTAATTCTCATTTGTTGTGACTTATGATTGCATTTGCATTATAGTTTCTGGTCCATCTCCTTCCTTAAGTGAATATGGCCTTGTCCTTGTGCTCATGACGTGACTGTGTCCTTGCTTAGCTTGTACAACTTCTTCTGAAATCTTCACAAGATAAGCGATTTGTATGCGACGCAGCTGAGAAAGCTCTAATAGCTATGACGACATGGGTTTCTCCATCACTATTATTACCGAAGCTGCAACCTAATCTGAAACACAGAAATCCTCGAATTCGAGCAAAAGCTTCAATGTGCTTTTCTCGAAGTGTACCACGTCTGGTGAGAGTTCTAATTGCCAAAATATCTCTTTTTATGTGACATATACTCTGGCATATGAACTTTAGTTGTTTCATTCGTACAATTTAGTCCTGCTATTCATTATTTAACCATTTTGTTTGTTTATCTGCTGACTAAGATCTTTCCCTTGGCTATGTTTTGTTGACAATATACAGATAAGAAAGTAAGCTCAAGTTCTTTGAAGTATTCTAATAACTATTTACCTGATAAAAAAAAAGTATTCTAATAACCATTTACCGTTTAAGGAATGACTAGGTAACAATTTGTCAGTCTCTTGATTATATTTCTTAATAGTCATAGTTAAATAAAGCCAAGGAATTTTTGCATTTTGTTCATAATGCTATAGTAGCTGCTCTCATAATCTCATTAGTTACCCCCTCGTGGTCGTTTATTACTTATGTTTTTGTTTGGTGGTTCTTGTTGAATGAAAACAATAAAGATTGCTTCTTAGTGAACTGTTAGCAGCCACTGAAAACGTTAATCAGACATTTGTGGCTTTTCAACATGTTGCTGAAATATGAAAGAGGAATAAACTCTTTGTCCTGGTTCTGGCCTTTTGTTTTCTAGGTGTTTTGCTAATTTCCTTGTTACTACTAGATGTGGTCTTTACTAACAGAGTAGCATGCTTTGCAGGGAGTAGAGGGAATCAGAGCATATGGAATTGAAAACTTGATCCAAATAGCTGTATCCCAGCTCAGTGACCAGCTTCCTGAGTCAAGGGAGGCTGCTCGTACGCTGTTGTTAGAACTGCAAACTATCTATGAAAAAGCACTCAATGTTACCCCAACAGAAGTGAGTGAAGAGGCAGAAACAATTTCCTGGGAGCATTTTTGTCAATCAAAGCTTTCGCCTTTGAGTGCTCAAGCAGTTCTGCGTGTAACCAATCTCACTAGGGAGGGTATTGTTTTAGGTTCATAGCATTTGTGTGATGAGCTATAGTTCACTTTTGTCCTTCCTAATTTTTTGGTTTGGTTTTCTTATACCTGTATATACCATTAAAAGTTTGAGGTGTTTGCGAGGCAGTTGAACCATATCTAGAGCTATAGTTCCTATAGTATCTTGAATATATGGTTTAGATTACGTCGTATTGTGCTTAAAATCATTCATGAATGCTTGCTTTGCAGTATTACTTGTAATTGTGCTCGTTCATTGTTTGTCTTACTATTTTAATGGTTGAAAAGCGAAATGCGTTACTGTGAAGTCAAGGAAAGTTGTTCATCATGGCGAAACCGAGATTGTTTGTCATAATCTGTTCGTTTTCCTGGTTAAATATATTGTTTTGGGAATTGTGACATTTCATCAGCCTCTTCCTTCCAATGATTATGTTTATTTCTTCTCTATCATCTTGTGTTGGATCAAAAGATTTTCTTTGTCCACGTTCATCAGATTATTTACATGTGACTGATGTATATAGCTATACTTGTTAACTTACTTTATCTCCTATTAAAGGGGAGCCCTGGAAACCGGGTAAGAACAAACGTGATGGCTGGTTAGCACTTTTACTGTGTGACTGTCAACGACTATTATTGGGTTAAAACAGGAAACAATGCAGAAAAGAATGCTTTCCTGCGGAACTCGAATTGGCCAAGTGCATCACTTCATTACAGAAAATTTGTAACATAGGCTTCTCGGTCATTCACCCGAACCACCCACTTAATTTTAAGAAATGATAGGACGACTTAAAGCTTGTACTTTGTATCTTCAGAAACTTCATAAATACTTTTCAGTAACTACAGCAATTACGAGCCAAATCCCTGCATTTGTTTGTGTTACACCAACTTCACAGATTAAAACAACCCAAACCCCACAGAACATTAAACTATTACAATTTTTTTTTTTAAAATTATTACAAATTCAAAACAGACAACGTTACCGTCAGCTACCTATACCGTCCGAAATTCTTTTAGGTGAATAAGACTAAAACTTATTCTTATGTAAGAACATATCTTAATCCTAAATTATAATAACACAGAAAGAATGCATGAGATGAAGCAGAATCCAAAAAAAAAAAAAAAGAGTAGACGAATATTTCTGCATTCCAATAGAATCATATCTTCCACCAGTCAATTGTTGCAAAACCTAAGCATCTTTTGCTCCAAATCCATTTCTCTTGGAACTAAGGAGCCAATATGTAAGTAAACTCTCACTGTGAATCTTCATTTCATCCTCAGAACATGAGTTTTTGTAAAGGATTTTAACTTATAATGAAGAACCATGAACTGGGCATTGCCTCGCGGGTTACTCGGGTTATAATCATGGCACTGGTGATATCAGTGATATTGCTACTTGTTTTTGTCGGAGTTCTTGTCCTGATTCATGTCTGTGTAGTATTGAGGGCATTTAGAAGAAGAATTGACAACGTTACTATGATGGAAAGAGGTGCCAGCATGTCCCAAGAGGATATAGAAAAGCTCCCTTGCTTTGATTTTCAAGCCAAAGAGAAGGGAATTAGTAGCACAGTGGACTGTGCAATTTGTTTGGATAGTCTCAAGGTGGGTGATAAGTGCAGAATTTTGCCTCAATGCGACCACTATTTTCATGCTGAATGCATAGATTTGTGGCTCTTGAAATCCTCCTTTTGTCCAATATGTAGGGCTAGCGCTGATATTCTGAGGGGTTGTTCCATATCCGCAGGAGAAAGCACCGGATACAGTGAAAGTGGACAAACCAGAGAACACAACGCCAACATGACTGAGACAAGAATTGAGTTGAGAGTAAGCCAATAAGTTGATAATTTTAATTAGTATCGACCTATAAAAAGCGTCCATGTTAAGTGGCTCATATTGATCGAAGGAACGAGTTGTTGTCTGGTTGTATGATCTTGGTATCTTGGATTACCTCACCTTCTGATAAGCAATTGAATTTCAAAGTTGAGTTAGGTTCATGGTCCATTTTCTTCGCACAATATCAAAATTAGACCCGCTCCTATTTTGGTTTAACCAATATTGGTTCTCATGTTATAATTGGTTTACACAATTATATTGTACTGCGTTGTGAGCTTTATGAAAAAGAGTAGCAAAATGAATAATGATGCATTCGGGTGATGCAAATGTGTTTTCGTAATATTGTCAGCAGTTTCGTCATAAATTACTCAATACTAAAGAACAAACAAGAAAAGATCCAAGGAGAGGGTTGACACCCCCACGCCGGGGAACACCAAACTACCTTCCAATATTTTTTTGGGCCTTAGCAGGGTGTAAATGGTTCGGTTATGCCGATTATTTTATAAAATTAATACCATACTAATTTTTCGGTTATTCTATAATGTATAACCAAAATTAGACTTTTTAAAACTGTCTCAATCATGTCGGTTTCTCTTCGACATCGGTACGGTTCGATTAATTTTCGGTATTTTTTTAAATGTCATGTAAAAGTAGTAGAAGTAGAATGCAATAACATACGTACTTTTATAGGACTTAGCAAAACTCTCTATACATTTTTACTATTTAAAGGGCGATGGATTAAGAACATGAAAGATGGTCAGAATATAGATCCATTAACTATTCTACAATAGCATAAAAGACACTAAGCAAAGACAAAGAAAATATAAATCATACGAGTGGAAAGATATTAACCAAGCTGAGACTCAAAAATAAAGTCTAGAGAAGATTAAATATTCAAAAAGATAAATCTAAATCATACGAAATAAAACGTATTCAATACATTGTACTTTGCTACTCATAATTGCTAGAATACCTTGTGTCTTGCTTGTGAATATGCTGAAAATAGTTTAGTTTTAATATGAGTAGCATAATAAGTTGAGAATTAGAATTTTGAGTTTAATTACTTCTTGACTTGTAACTGTGTTCATAATTACAAGTCCCACGGAAAAATTTAATGCTTTATTATTTTTAAACTTATATATAAATATATTTTTTATATATAAATTTATTCGGTACGGTTCGGTATTTTTTCGGTTTATTTTCATAAAATAAAAAACCTATCATAATTATCGGTGCGGTTATAGAAATATATAAAAACCTATGGTTTTATTAAAAGAAACCTAAAAATCGGTTCGGTACGGTACGGATCAGTCAGTTTTTAAATATCCATCGACGCCCCTAGGCCTTGGTATCTTATCAATTATATTCACTACTATTCAATTAAAGTAAAAGAATTGGCCAATTCTAAAGGATACTTTAGTAAATTTTACATTTAAAGGAAACTCTATATCATTTTATACATAAAGATGAATGTTGTTTTGTGAAAGATTTAATTTAGTACGCTGATATTCGTAAAAATTTATGAAATAATTAATGATCTTTAATTTATTATAGCAAGTAACCTGCTTTGTTTTCGAGAATACTAATCTCACTTATCATTAAACATTACTCTATAGTTATCTTTTTGGTGACTTAGTAGTATTATCAAAGACAATTATGTATAATTAAATTAATGTATAGAAGTTAAACTCATTACCTCATTAAACCAATTGTATTAGTGTTTTCACATCGTGAATGCATAGGCATATACTAGGATTATATATTTTTGACCTCTCTGGACTCTAGTCATTGGTTTTTTTATCGAATACAAATGGATAAAAGACAAAACTAAAAGAGCAAAAATCAAAGGAACGTAGTATAAGGCTATAAGCTGCTAGAAACCTTCCTACATTTCCATAATACGTATTAGCTCATTTGCAGGCAGGCGAGAAGTGCTAGTTTTCCCTTATTTTAGTTAAGGTGATGAGAATAAACATTTTTTGTTTCTGGTTTCTCAACTACTTTTCCTTCGGACAATTCATCAAAATCTTTCCGTAACTATCGCTATGTGAAGTTTAAACCAAGAATATTTTTTTTCTTTATAAGAAAATAGCAATGTCAAATACTGACCTCATTTAACAACAAAACTTTTTTCTCTTAAAAAACTGACTTAAATTTTACCTCCATATTTAGCACTGCTTTTTTTTCTTTTCTTGCTGACATAACGCAGCTATGCAAGTAGAGCAAAAACAATCATTTCTGTATACATAAACAATTATCCCTTACTATAAGGTAGGATTTTAGTGTAACGCTAAAAGTGGTTCAAATTAAAATTGCTTTAGGTTAACAGGTTCAAATCTGGATTCTTGCATTTTCTAACCTTTATTAGAATTCCTGACTCGGCCACTTACTGTTTTCTCTCCGTTTTGAAAGTGTGGACAATCTTTAATGGGGATTTACACAAGGAACAGGACCAAACATCTTAATGTCATTACTGCTATCTGCATTTTCAACTTAGTCAACATTGCTAGCCTTGCATTTTCACAGCATTCTGCTGCTGAATGCATTTTTCAACTGAGGAAGTCTTCACTCTTCAGCACTGTATAAATCAGGTGATGGAGGTGGAAACTGGGGTGGTTTCTTGAATGATGAAGTTTGTGAAGAACCGTTCCGAGACTACATTTATGCAATGGGAATGAGAGCAAATGAAACAGGGCAGTTGGACCTGAATTCGACTCAGCAGACAAACTGCTTGACTAAGATTAATGAAGAAGGAAATGGGATAGTTGTATTTAGTTGTGGGATTGAGATACTAACAAGAGGTGGTGGCAGCTGCTCAGATTTCACTGTTAATGATGTTAACATGAAGTTAGCAGACAAACTCAGAAGTTTGACTAATAACTGTCAATTTTACCAAGGGGGTCAGTCGTGTCAGTCCTGTATAAATAGCTGGAAAAATATAAAGGAAATGAACTCAGAAAATGACAAGTACATGAAGGTTCAATCAGATATATGTAGGTTTGCAGTTTTGGTAACACTTACAAGTACAAGAATTTGACAAGTAGATGCATCTGATAAGAAATTTGGTAATGTTCCTCACCAGATAAATAACTTAGATCCTTCTCACTTTTTTATGCCTTCCCTCTATTGTGTAATGGCGATAAATGAGATTAGCTTTGTGGAAACAGCAAATGATAGAGTACTATTCCTGGACACAAAGGCTTGAGATTGCAATAGATAGATAGTACTAAGGGACTCATGTTTCTTCACACCTACCATGAAGGAAGTATAATCCACCGTGATATAAAGGTAAAAAATGGTCACCAATATACTTCAAAGGTCTGAACTTTGGACATTCTTGAATAGATAACTAAATCGCTTACTTACCTTAATTCCACAGCCTACAAATATACTCCTTGGACAGAATTTTGAAGCTAAGCTGTCTGATTTCGGATTGTCCAAGGTGAAAGACATTGATGAATCCTACATGATCTCAGAAGTGAGAGGCACTTTTGGTTATGTCGATCCTGAATATGAAACGAATCATTGTGCAAATTCAGCAGGTGATGTATACAGTTTGGGAATAGTACTTCTGCAGATCCTCTCTGGGAGGAAAGTTATCAATATGAACATGGAGCATCCAACAACATTGGACAAAATTGTAAACAACTATCCCTTTTCATGAATGTGTCATTAATTAATCGTAAAAAAATAACCGGATGTTGATAAACACCTGTCATTTCAGGCGAGATTGCTAATGAGGGAAAGACGGGCAATGGAATTTGTTGATCCAAAACTTTATGGAGATTACTCAACAGAGGCTTTCCAGCTCACATTGGAGTTAGCTATTTCATGCATTGAACCAAAGCAAAATAGACCCTCCATTGAGAAAGTTGTTGACAAGCTGGAAGATGCACTAGCTATAACAGCAAGCAAACATGTTAGATGGTTAGAAAAATTTGAAAATTCATGAGTCGTACAAAGGCAAACGATCTCACAAAAAACTGTATTTCACATCTTATCTACGAAGTATAAAAAAAAGATCTCATGAAAACAGGATTGCATGTTGTATTAGGCCAGCCAAAGTATACAAAAGAAATACAAAAACAAATATTGCATGTTGCATCTTATCCAAATAAGTATACAAGCGACCTTAAAAAAGATTGTATGTTGCAAAATATCTACAAAAGTGCCACCACAAAACAGAAAAGAAAAGAAAAAGGAACTTTACACAAATCGTCGATTAAATTTACTGTTTACTTTTCTAGCTGATATACATATATTATACACTAATTATACATGGTTATACACATATTATACATGGATTATACATATATTACAACATCCGCCAGCAATTTTTAATTTAAGCGGTTGGGTGGGCGGCTGTTTAGGTTAATTCTTCAAAAGAAAACTACATCCATGCTGGATTCTTCAGAGAGGTAACAACAGCTTTGACTTGCAAGTAGTTATTGAGGCTGTAGACTCCCTTTTCTCTTCCATGTCCACTCATCTTATACCCGCCAAAGGGAATGGCAGCATCAAATATGTTAAAGCAGTTAACCCACACCGTCCCAACTCTAAGTGCTCGAGTTATTGTATTGGCTACGTCAATGTTCCGGGTGAAAACACCCGCCGCCAAACCATAATGTGTCGAGTTTGCCCTTCGAATGACCTCTTCAAGATCCCTGAATGTTTCAAAGTCAGGTTCAGAATTGATAAACGAAATACAGGCACAGCTAGAGAACGTAAATATGGAAATGTAATCTCACTTGAATTTCAAGAGGGACTGTACTGGTCCAAATATCTCATCTTTGGCAATCAGCATGTTGTCCTAAATAGTTGAAAAATAATTTTAAACTAAACCATTAGATGCCATCACTATCATATTCGTCTTTTTAATTTATGTATGTATATATCTTATGGGCAATGGCAGTTGTACCTGGACATTTGAGAAGACAGTAGGTTGGACATAGAATCCCTTGGAACCCAATTTATCCCCTCCAGACTCGAGAGTAGCCCCGCTTTCAATACCAGACTTTATGTACTTAAGTATCTTCTCATACTGCTCGGTATCAATCTATTCATACAAGAAAAGGCCACGTTACAGCTACTTCAGAAATGCAAATAAAAGATCACAATTACTATTATCCTATGCTAGAACTTCGTGATTTAGGTTTATATGTAAGATGATGAAAAGGAAATAACAAAGGTACCAATGACACACTCTTTCCCTGAAAAGTTGGCTACTTCACATTGGTAAAGATATATTATTCCTTTCCTTAAGAGGGTAAAGCATTTATTAAATCATTCTCATTTTTTATTACAGGAAGAATAGTACCTGAGGACCTTGTTCAATTCCCTTCTTGAAAGGGTCGCCAACTACACGTTTTAAAGCACGGGCCTTGGCTTTCTCTACAAATTCATCATAAACTCTTTCATGCACAAATGTCCGAGATCCAGCGCAGCAACATTGTCCCTGCAAATATTTGAAAACTATGTTTTCCGGTGCAAGCACCAGGGGTCGCAATTTTCGGAGGGTGGAATACTGATACCTGATTAAAGAAAACCGCAGAATGAGCCAACTCAACAGCTTTATCAATGTCCGCATCTTCACAAATGATGAAAGGAGATTTTCCTCCGAGTTCCAAAGTCACTGGCTTTAGGTTGCTCTTTGCAGCTGCACTTAGTACAGCTTGACCAGTTTCTGTGGACCCTGTAAAAGCAAGCTGTAGACACAAAAATGAGTGATGTAGAGATACATTGCATTTTGGGCATCACAGATAAATATAAAAAATTCTGAAAAAACGACAACATAATATGCAAATTTCAGAAGCTGTTTAAAGTGAAGAAAACAGAAGATGTCAGTTCTCCTTCATTCTCCCTCACCTATTCCCGAATATTCATTAAAATAACTTTACACATCACAACAATATCAACAAAAGTGAGCATGAAATACAAAAGCTGAAAGGACATCAGGATGCATAACCTCTTCTTGTTGAGTTAGAAGCAAAAGATATAATTTTCTTCATTTACCCTACATGTGGATTGAACTGTCTAGCGCGAAGCTATAATCAAGGTTCTGTTTCCCTTCATTAGTATATTATATGCAATTTCAGGAACAAAGCCAACAACTTAAAAATACCTTATCGACATCCATATGACTGGCAAGAGCTGCACCTGCACTACCAAAGCCAGGTATGACATTCAAGACTCCAGGGGGAAGTCCAACCTGTCAAATGGTTTGAAGCACAAAAAACATGCTATCATCTTTTATAGATGGAGAATATCTTCACGTTGAGCTGCACCAACAGTGGGAAAGTTTTCACTTATAGATGTGAAACTACTGAATTTGTAAACAAATAGATCAAAATGAACTCAATGACAGTACGACTGCATATTCTTTAGAATTATAACTTAAAAGGTTCTGTGACAACAAGACCAAGTGCAGACCAAATGTACAGTTATCCTAGGTACATACCTCGTGGAATAACTTTGACACGTAGAGGGCAGAGAGTGGGGTCTGTTCTGCAGGTTTTAGTACAACAGTATTACCACAAGCGAGTGCAGGGCCAACTTTCCAAGCAAACATTAATAGAGAAAAATTCCACGGTATTATCTGCCCCGCAACACCAATCGGCTCATGCAAGATCTGAACATGGTGCAAACTGTCAGCAGGAGCTGTAAGACCATGAATTTTATCAGCCCAACCTGAAAAAGAATGTACATGAAAAACTTGGAAAAGTATTCGGGTGATTTCAGCAAACATTAGAATTTTACAATCAACAGGAAAAATATAACGCCATTTAAATTTTCTTAACCAGCATAGTATCTGAAAAGACGTAAAAGCATTGGTATTTCTTCATTTGCAGCTTGTTCGTAAGGTTTTCCGTTGTCATAAGTCTCAAGCTCTGCAAGTTCATCACTGTGCTTCTCAAGCAAATCAGCAAAACGCAACATTATACATGATCTTTCCTGGAAAAAAAATGATTCATTAAACAAATTATTATGCTTAAGTAAGAGAAGGCGTTTAAACAAGCAGCAACTGTCGGCAAAGGTGGATGGACAATAGATTTAATTGGTATAACTGAACCCGTCATGTTCGATACAGAACATGGATAGATATTTGAAAATTTACTAAAATGTTAGCAAATATAAAATTTTGCCCAAAATTTCAGAAGCTCAATGCGCCAAATAGTGTTGAACACATCAAATTTAAATACTGAATCCGCCTTTGTCTGTTGGGAGCAAGGAAGAGGATCGAGAAAGATAAGAAGGCTCAGTTACTGTATGTGTACATAAGCAGACATTTTAGGCCATGGTCCTTCATCAAATGCTTTACGAGCAGCAGAGACTGCACGGTTGACATCTTCAGTGTCAGCCTCCGCAACCATAGTAATGACATCCCCTGTCCTGGGGTCATATGTAGGAAACATCTTTCCTGAAGACATAGTATTCTCCATGTTACTCTTGAAGTTCATGACATGTTTATCGAATGGAGCAGAAGCAACTTTAGAAGAACAGTAAAAAAGAAAGAATTAAGGGATGAAAGGTCAACCTGAGGCTGCATCTACAAACTGTCCATTAATTAGAAGCTGCTTATATTTAAC